GGGGGGGGGGGGGGTGAAAATTTCTCTAGGTGCGGTGGGAAACCAGAGGTGGGAAACTTGGGGGTGCAAAATATTTGGGGGGGTGTGCCCCCCATAAACATAAAAATTTATTTGGCCATCTACCTTCACTTTAGTGTATCAGGTCAAGATACTTGTAAAACTATTCCTCTGTTAATTTGTTTTCTTCATTGTCTTCAAATCGGCTTTTTTCTTGAAACTCTGTCAAGTTGATGTGTTGTTCCTTTTTCTCTGGGAAATATCAAATCACTAAGTACAGGCCACTTCAAAAGATATGTAATAAGCTTAAGCTCCTCCATTCCTTAAAACTTATTCAAAAATCATAATTTTCTTTATTAATACTTTTTCAAAATGACATAATATTGTTGTACTGCTAAGCTTATGGAATAGTATATCGTTCGACACTACTCACTGAATGCGACCATTTTAAAAGACGTCTGCAACACTATTAAAACAGCGCAACATTTATGATAGATACCTTTACAAATATCTTCAATTTCTAGACACCGTTTGTTAATAACGTTGTACAGCATGAGACCTTGAACAAGGAATTTCCTATCTTGATTATGGGGGTCTAGGCCAGCATCAAGCAGGTACGGCTCCAATTGGCTCTTTAAGTCTTCTGGAAGTGTTTTATCATTCGGTGAGGACTCAAGCTGAAATGACAAAAGATCAGAAAATTTGTTTGTTCTGGAAGTTGTGCTCGGTTTTTAAACAGAATATTTACTAATGACGAACCTCAACTTATACACTTCCTCAGTTCAATATCTTCTAATTCTTTCGCAGAATTACAAAAGTAATGAACAATTGCTGGTGATATGCCTTGGATAGATGGCCCACCATGCAACGCTGAGTGTGCGATTATTCGTCCAATTGCTTTAAATGAACCAGTAACGCATGAAGCTTGATCATGCAATGGGATGCGATGATCTGTTTCTCCCTCGAAAAACATAGTGGGTTTGGACGATATTTTCATTCCTTCATCAACCATCTTTATGGCACATAATAAAAATTCACAGATTCTAGGAAGAGCGTTTAATTTGTTTCGCTTCCCCTTATAACATAGAAATATGTCACGCTTTAGCTCCTCCGACCCTTCCAAGCGGGAGACAGAAAACAGCTGTCAAGGAGATAATTCGTCGATAACCTCACTTCTAAACTTAGCTATTGCCGCTTTTGGGTCACTGATCTCAGATGATGTTGGGGAACTTTCAACAATTTCTACATCTTCGTCATCTTCCACCCCTAAATATATGCTTTCAGTTAGTGTATATATAATTTATGTCTGTCATCTTGCGCGAGTAAACTATACTATTTCCTGACATGTCAAGTTTGCACTATCCTTGGCATCCCTGAGTATTGCTCAATCGTAAATCTGATAAAGCTTACCAAGCAAACTTTCAGCTGCAGCATTGACATCTCCACTAGCTCTTGACAGAGCAGCATTGATCTCTTCAGTTATTGCATTTGGACACATTTCTTCCAACAATGATATCTTTCTAAATTATTGCAATATCATTCAAATAATGAGAAACACCAAACATTTGGTTCAAAGTGGCATAGCCAGGATTTAAAATTGGGGAGAGGGGGGGGGGAGAATTTTTATGGCATTCAAGATTTTGAGGTACAAGCACGAAAACCACAACGAATCTGGGGGGTTGGGTCAGAGTGCAGGCACAGGAAAATTTTGAATTTTTTGGTTCATTAGAATGCTATTTCAAGTATTTTAGGACGAGGTTTGAACAAAACTTAATCACAAAAAATCATTTATAAGTCGCCGAATGCTGTTAGAACACTGAATGAACACTGGCACTGGTAGGTTTTCATCACACTCCTTTATATCAACATGTTCCTTATCATTACTGTCACTTTGTAGACTGGACCAATCCAAAGTATGTTGTCTCTAAACTTGTACAATACAATCACACATAGCTAATAAGAAAATGCATTTCAGGGAAATTTTAAAATTTGCTTACTTTAACAGGATTTATCTCCACTCCATGTTTGTCACTAATATGTTTCTTTAACTCCTTAAAGACACGACCCTATTACCGCAATGCTTGTAAGCAATACGCTTTGCCGATTTAATATCTTCGGTTCATTGAATGCTATGAGGACAAAAATACCACCATTCGATTCAGTGTGACTAGATCTCCTCACTCGTAGCAATAGTTTTAGTCATTGGCAACATTACAGCGATTTATGAGCTTTAAAAGTAAAGTGAGATCGAATACGATCAAATTACGCATTTTACCAACAAATTATAAAAACATAAACATACCTTACGCCGAATATAACTTCGGCCCCTTGAAACGTATGCTCATTGCGATATTCTTGATGAATAAATGCCATGTATAACGTTATTTCCAAGCTTCTATCCTTAAAGGGTGACTTTTAGTGCCGAATTTTACATTTTTGGTCCGAATTTGCGATAATCCCAACCGGAAATACGACGAAAACTCGTCAAAACAATGCCACGCTTGTATCGCGTGACTCTGGAAATGCCAGAAATGGATTCTACAGGTCAAAGTGCACCCATACGCGTGAGTTTGACGTCATCCCGGCTAAAGGGAGCTCCTTATTGGCCAAGTATTACATAATACAAGCGCGTGCGAGTAAAACCCGATACTTTAAAAATTCAAAATAAATATTTCTACTCGTCGTATTCATATGAAACTTTCTACACTAAAGCGCTTGAATACAAAGAGTATTTTGCACATATAGCCTTTCAGAAAATGACGAAAAGTTTAGAAGATATTCAACTTTTTCTCTTTTTATCGTTTGAATGTTTGGCGAAGCGGTGAGTATAACTATATGATTGTTTCGGTTTGTATAATGTTCGACAACACTTGACCCCCCGTTCGAAAGGTTATTTTGTGAGGATTACAATGGTGGGTTTTGTTTTAAAGGGGGGCAAATACTCGCCGCGATATTTACATTTGAAAAATTAAATTGTAATGTAATGCGAAACTACTTGTCGACAAGGAGTTAAATAGCTCATGGGAACCAGTGTACCACATTCAATACATTCAACTTCTCGAATGTTGTTCTCATCCTGAAAAGACATGATTTTTTTACCATTTTAAAAACAATGATATGTGGTCAAAATTAGTTTTCCTGTAAACAAAATGTTTTTTAAGCAGATATAAAATACACTGGACCCAGCGCTGTTGTTTTGACTTTGCCTTCGGGTCGGGGGGGGGGGAGGTTCGACTTGCCTGAATTTTTCCAACTTAACATTTTTACCAGACTTTGCAAAAGTGCCTCCATGGTTGGTGCCAAGCTAAATTTTTTGAAAATTTGACTATCCAAAATGGCATTTTTAGAGTCTTTCCTACAAATAAGTTAGTATTGCCTAACAATGAATATAAGTATTATTACTTACAGTTTAATGTTGCTGTGAAAATGAAAACATTTTGGAAATGTGGAGTCTCCTTGGTCATGTCTCCCACCTGTCACAACACCTCTCAACATATTTGGTTGGTCGATTGTTAACTCTAGTTTTGATTCAGAGCATAGAGTTCACTTTTTTATGCCCCGAGAATTACCTGAAAATCTACTGGATATCTACCTGAAATAGCTCATGAGCAATTATTAGGGGGTGTTGCACCACCCATAACCTGGTCACTATGGCCCTGCCAAGACCTTTTATTTGGTAATAATTGTTAGCTATTAAAGATATGCTCATACCAATGTGTGACACTTAATATGACATATTTCTACCTGAGGCTCATCATCAGAGTCAATCAAACCCATGTCAACATCTTTTTGTAAAGGGCAGAGATATATTTTGGCAGAACCAGCTGCATCTTTCAACCACCTTGCAGTTTGTGGACCACCAATATTAACAAAACCAGAATCATCTCCCCTTTGAAAAAGCAGTATTTCATATCCAGTTTCTTTCAACTTAGGAAATCTTTCCAAAATCTTATCATGGCATTCCAAGCGGCTCATATCCAGAAAAAATTGGATAGATGCTTCACCAAGGCCAGCATTTAATAAGGCAGTTTTGTCACGTATTTTGCTGGGTGGTTTTGAGGTGGCCATTTCTGACAAAGCAACAAACTTTAAAGTACATGTTGGCTTTCGTTCTTTCCCCTAATTTGACTTTCCATTAGTACATTTCACATTTCTGCCACCAATGAAAACAGACGCCTATGTTCTTGTGCCTGCCTCATTTGGGTTATATTTGGTTTCAGGATTTTTGAATGAGTAGATGTTGATGGCACATTTGAATGTATTGATGGACAGCTTGTAACAGCTTGCTAAACTGATGTTCCTGATGAAGTTTGTCTTGATGGTCCAGGAAGAATCTGCCTTGAGGGTCCTTTATAATTAAGAATTCATGTTACAGTTAGACAAAGTTTTTTTCCGTAATATTAAATAACCAGAAAATGCAATGACAGCGCAAATTAAAGTGTTGTCACAGTTGTTGACATAACATGCCTCCAAAGTTCTTTTGCAAATTTTCAGGGACCGGTCATTATTGATGGCAGGGGTGAGGGGAATTTTTTCTTTCCCAAATTTTTAAAATTGAAAGCCCCCCCCCCTTAAAAGAGCAGAAATTTAATGGTGACCCCCCTGCATATTAGAATATTTTCCTTTGAGCCCCCCCCCCCTTCCATAAATAATGACCGGTGACCGGTCCCTTACAAATTAACAATTAACTGGGTCACACAGAGTTAAAAAGCTAAACTATAAAAATATTGTGTAATTATATATATAACTATATAGTTTATATAGTGGGCTATTCCATTTAACTCCTTCCCCCCCCCCCATATGATTCATGGTTTCCAGTGTATTATCAAGTATATACTCAGGTAACAGTGTTAGAAGTATAAAGTTTGTTCGTTCACTGCAACCAGGTATATCAATCATGTTTCGCTCGCTACTCTGCCTTAAATAAATGATTACAAAGCCCAGTCAAATTGTAATCAAGACCCAACGTTTCGACACTCCAGTCTAGTGCCTTCATCAGGGGTGATCTAAAACTGCAATCGTGGCTTCTTAAATACCCAAGGGATGACGTCACCTATTTGCCAGAGGAATATATGCATCTCCTTGGCAGGTGACGTCATCCCTTGGGTATTTAAGAAGCCACGATCGCAGTTTTAGATCATCCCTGATGAAGACACTAGACTGGAGTGTCGAAACGTTGGGTCTTGATTACAATTCGACTGGGCTTTGTAATCATTTATTTAAACCAGAGTAGCGAGCGAAACATGAGTGTTAGAAGTGTTACACTATCTTTATTTAATGGTGGGGTTAGGGATTTAGGGTTAGGGATTTAGGGTTAGGGATTTAGGGTTAGGGATTTAGGGTTAGGGGTGGGGTTAGTGTGTATAACACTATGGAACACTATGGAACACTGTCAACACTGTGTAACACTGTGTAACACTATGTAGCACTGGAACACGGAATGTAAGAATATACAGTATAACATTGTTTAACACTGTGTAACACTTGTAACAGTGTTATAACTGAGTGCCATAATAAAGCCACTCTAAATCATGCATGGTATACCCATCAAGGACCTTGGAATTCCTCAGGGGTAAGGAAATTTTGATATGGAAATCTTCAAATTGTATTTTTATTGCAACTTATTTAGGGGTCAATATCTCTACCCACTGGAATTCTTCAGGGGGTTTGATAAAAGAAAGGAATTGTTCAATTGTTTTGTAAAACCCTGGTCTTCAATAGAGAGGGGTACAGTTTTTTAATTCAATATGCACAACAATAAAATAAAATATTGTTCAATATAAGTGACTTGTTTTGTTTACTTATTGCTGTAGTACTGGCTGGCAGAAATGAATAATCGATTGAACCACTTTAGACAACACCAATATATTAAACAACAATTTGCTGCCATCACGCCATGTGCGAGCAAAACCGCCAATTGGTGCCAAACAATATAAAAAGCACAATTATAAATTATTAATCCTCATATTTATAATCAAACCATATTCATCTAAAAAACATTAATGTTTATACCATTCAAAGAAGTTTGACATACCTGGGCTAGATCGAGAACTTTCTATTCGTTCAAGTGTGTCAGCCACATGAGTAAGCAAATTTTTAACGGCCTTCAATTCCTCCTCCATGATGAATTTAACATGATTATAAAAGAATCAAAGATTCCAAGAATTTATATATGACGTAATTATGACAAGTTTGTATTACGTAATTTTAGCGGCTTTTGTACAAGTGGCGGCAAATGGCAATTTTCAACTTGACACAATGGCAATTTTCAACTTGACACAATGGCAATTTTCAACTTGACACAATGGCAATTTTCAACTTGACAAATTGCAATTTCGAACTTGACAGATCGCAACTTTTTCAACTGTGCAAATTGCAACTTTCAGTATAGCAAATCGCAACTTTTGATATTAGATTTTTTTTTCACCAAGTTCATTGTTGCATGCAGAAAAGACGTTTAAATGTTTGTGTGGTAAACAATTGTCAAAAGCCGTATAAAAAATTATGGGCAAAATTAAATGTTGATCCCCCATGTTAAAAGTCGAATTGCAATATTGATTTTTGGCGGTGATGCAACGCCATAGTACTGGTCTTACATGCATTCAAGTCTTCAGTATAAAATTCGTTCTGATTGTAATAATTCAGACCCCGAGATAATTGAATCACTTTTCACTGAAATTAGCATTCCCTTGGGTAAAAATATAATAGTAGGATCAGTCTACCGACCTCCTAATCAATCGTTTGTTCAATTTTCGGATAAATTCAACGAAATTCTCTCCAAAATCTCCTAACAATAAGTATTGTTATGTGGCGGGTGATTTTAACATCGATTTGCTACAGTGTAATGATCATGTGCCAACTCAAGAATTTATTGATAGTCTTTTTTCACACATGTTTTTCCCTCTAATAAATAGGCCTACTCGTATTACTGCCCACTCCGCCACATTAATTGATAACATATTTTCAAACCATCTCTCAGATAGATGATTTACTAGTATTGTTTTTAATGATATATCTGATCATTTACCTGTTTTTTCTTGTTCATTTGATAAGTCTACCTATAACAAATATCAAGATAGTAGAAGAATCTTATCAGAGATCTTAGCAATAAGAATTTGGACAAATTTCGGGCTAAACTTTTATCAGTCAACTGGACAGCAATATTAAACGAACAAGATCGTGATGACTCATACAATAGTTTTTTGGTAGAATATTCGCGACAATATGAAATATGCTTTCCTTTAAGAAAAGCCACAAGTAATAAGAATAATCGCGTTTTCACTCCATGGATAACTAAAGGGCTCTTAACAGCAATCAAAAAGAAAAAAAGGCTCTACAAACAATTCCTGAATTCTTCCAACCCACAACATGAATCTCGTTATAAACTATACGAAAATAAGTTAAATCACCTCATTAGAATTGTTAAACGTAATTATTATGATTCTAAGTTTATCATGACAAAAAACAACCTCAAAGAGACATGGAAACTAATTAATGAAGTGATTAATAAGCTAAAAGTAGATTATCAATGCCTCAATCTTTCAATAGTAATGGTAGACCAATAACAGATCCAACAGACATAGCCAATGAATTTTGCAATTATTTCACAAATATCGGACCTAATTTAGCAAATAGAATACCAACAGTGAATTCTACGTATAATTCCTTTTTAACTGATCGTGTGAGGGAATCAATCTTTTTAAAACCTACTAATATAGCCGAATTGACAGAAATTTGCCAATCATTTAAGTCAGGGAAAGCTTCAGGATGCGATGATATTTCTATGCAAGTAATCAAGAACACTTTTGAAATTATATCTCAACCCCTTGTACAAATTATTAACCTTTCTTTTTTAAATGGATACTTCCCAAACAAATTAAAAATTGCTAAAATAATTCCTGTGTATAAAACTGATAGTCCAGAGTGTTTTACCAATTATAGACCTATTTCACTGCTTCCAAATTTCATAACCGTATCACCAATTTTATAGAATCTTTTGATATTTTATACTCTCGACAATTTGGATTTCGGAAAAAACATTCTACTGTCTTATCACTTACCTATCTTATCAATAATATTTCTACATCCATAGACCGAAAAGAAATTACTGCCGGTGTGTGTCTAAAGCATTTGACACCCTGAATCATGAAATTTTGTTTGCAAAATTAGAGCATTATGGTATACGTGGCATAGCCTGCAATGGATTAAGTGTTATTTCTCTGATCGCAAACAATTCATCCAATTTAATGAAACCAGTTCCTCTAAACAGATTAAGTGTTATTTCTCTGATCGCAAACAATTCGTCCAATTTAATGAAACCAGTTCCTCCAAACAGACTACATGTTGTGGTGTACCTCAGGGATCAATATTAGGCCCATTATTATTTTTATTATACATTAATGATTTACCCAACGCTGCGAGAATGGCAGAGACTGTGCTTTTTGCAGATGACACTAGCATTTTTTATTCTCACTCGGATCCAAAACATTTAATTTCTGTGTTAAATACGGAATTAACTGAAATTGATAACTGGATGAAATCCAATAAACTTTCGGTCAACATAAAGAAAACAAGTTATAATCAAGGCAAAAGAAAATCAGTGTCAATTTACCAGCTATTGTTTTCGACAATCAACATCTAAAACAAGAACAAGTTATTAAATTCTTGGTAATTATTTACATAGATGAAAATCTCGCATGGGAACCGCATATAAACTATGTGTGTAAAAAAATATCGAAATCTATTGGAATAATTTATAGATCTCGCTTTGAATTATCTACTAATGCAAAATTGTCTCTATATTACACTTTGATTTATCCTTATCTTACATACTGTAATATAGTTTGGTCATCAACTTATGTCTTCAGTTTAAACAGAATCCTCCTTCTCCAGAAACGAGCGGTAAGAGCTATAACAAATTCAGATTATCGAGCCCACTCAACACCGTTATTTCTTCATTTAAAAAGTTTAGACATCTATAAACTAAATACATTCCATATTGCCAAATTTATGTTTATGTATCACCACAATTTGCTACCACCGTTTTTTTCTTAATTTATTTTTTACAAGTTATCATGTCCACAATTATAATGCTAGAAATGTAACAGATTACCGGTCTCACCCATGTCGTACCAACGTCAAAAAATTTACAATTCTTTATCTACAATCCTGGCCAAAAGTCTTTGGGACACTCCAAAATTATCGCATGTTTTTATTGTTCTCTTCAGAGAGAGCCGATTTAACGCAAAATAAGTGTTTAAACCAAACCCCCCTCCCCCGTTCAATGTTGATTTGGGGGCATCCTTAACTGAAATTTTACGAACTTTCAACATTGAATTGGGGGTGGGGAGGGGGAGCATTGCCTTTAGAATTCAAGGTAGAAAAGGGTGAGTGTCCCAACACTTTTGTCCAGGATTGTCTGTGTATAGGAAAGCTTGTGAATTGCAAATATTTTTTGAAGTTATGTCACATATATCCGTAATTACGCCGTTCACAAGACTTGTTGACGTCACAAATTGTTGGCCGTCATTCGTGTTTAGAAATTCGCTGACGTGCGCCATTGCGGGCGCACTAACGTCATGATTGATTGGTATGACAATTGGTTGATTTGTTGTAAACGAGAGGAGAGAATTTAGACGTTATTCTTTGCAGAAAGCTATTCAGCATAAAAATAAGAATTTATTGTACATTTATAATGGTGTACCATGGTGAAATATCAGCTGAACAAAAGGCACTCGCAATGTATTTAAAGATGGAATCGGGAACATCATACAGGGATCTCTGCGTCTGCGCAGAGAATATGCAAATCTGGTTGCAAATCAAAAGCGAAGTCAAAACCTGCAAAGACTGGAAGACTGAATAAAATTGATGCCCGAAGTTCACAGACTTTAGTTAGATTGTTGAAAAAATGTAGAAAGCATAGCGTTAACTTCGATGTTAAATCGTTAATGAAAGAAAGTGGCTTAAGTTTGCAGATGGCCAGTTGAGGCACATTCTCGCGGCATTTAAACTTGTTAGGATACCGGTTTTTGCAAGCTCGAAAAAAGGGATTATTAACCGAAAAGGATAGAAAAAGACGTTTAAGTTTTGCTCGAAAAACAAAGCAACTCTGTTTGGGACCAAATGCAAAATTTTTGGTGCAACGAAGTTGCCTTTTACTTGGACGGTGTATCATTTGTACACAAGTATAACCCTTTCAACGCGGCAATGACGCCCAAGTCCAGGGTTTGGCGAAAGAAAAGCAAGGGATTAGAAATTACGACTAAAGGATCTAAAGAGCTCCCTGGTGGACGAAGAGTTCACGTAATGGTCGCTATTGCTTATGGGAAAGGAGTTGTGCTATGAGTACCATACACAAAAATGGACGGTCCATTTTTTGCACAGTTTATCAAAGAGCATTTCCGTATAGCTTTTGCCCGGGCAGGTCCTAAACAAAAAGGAAGGCGTTTATTCATAATGGATAATGACCCTTGCCAGACAAGTAAAGTAGCAATGAAAGCTCTTGAAGATGTCGAAGCAGAAATGCATGCGATACCTCCATGTTCTCCCGATCTAAACCCTATAGAGAACATGTTCCATCTTGTGAAAAATGACTTACAGCGCCAAGCTATTTGCGAGAATATCACGGCTGAATCATTCAGCGAATTTGAAAAAAGAATTTTAAATACATTAGATAAGACTTCCGTCGACGTAATAGATCGCACAATAGATAGTATGTTTGGAAGAATTAATGCTGTAATTAAATCCAAGGGATTCCGAATAAAATATTGACAATTCATGCTTAATTTTATTGCTTAATATTACGTCATCTATTACGCAATTGAGACCGGAAATTCAAAATGAAATGTTGAAATTCAAAATGAAACATGTACAGTTCTCGTCGACAGGAGCAACACTTCTCAGCAACATTCCCCACGATAAATATAGTATTATTCATTTGCCACACCAAATTTCAGTGACATTTCTTTTTGTATACAATTTACTTTCAAAGCTAAGCCGAATATTGTATAATAAAGTACCTCACTTGCGACTTTCCACAGTTTTCACTTCTTGAGTAAATAAAACTGCAATATTTTGTATTTTATAAACTCAGTGTTAACGAGAACTGTTCAAAATACGCATTCAATGCACTTTCTAAACAAAACAAAACATTTTAATAGAAGTGCAGCTATGACTGAAATCAGATTAGAGGGTTATTCGAAATATACCATGACAACCAAGTGCGAAATTTCAAATAATATTACTGAGAACTGTGAGTGAGTACTGGCTGTCTCAGCTTATACTGTTTACGTTCGTTAACAGAACTTTTATTAAATATTAACTATTATTGTACGTGCGGTATAACAGAAAGCGACAATGAATTACAGAAAATTAAGCGACAATGATTTTATACACTGCAAAAAATCGTTTTTCGCTTTGCGTAAGTTTAACACATATATTTGAGTAAATTGTACACATTACTCAAAGTTTGAGTAATTTTACGCAAATCAGTTGAGTGAATATCTTAACTCAAATGTTTGAGTAATGAATGTCGAGTACATTGCGTTATTTACGCAATCATTTTGAGTAAATTTACTCAAGTGAAATTTATCATGCGTAACAGTTTACTCAAACAGTTGCGTAAAATCATACTTGCGCATTATTCTGAGTAAAGTTGATGTTGTACTCAGCTGTTGAGTAATGACAGAAAACGTTACGCAAATTGTGAGTAAATGCAAAATGATGATGAGTAAAGTTACTCAAATTATATTTACCGCGCGCAACAGTACTCAAACAGTTGCGTAAAATCATATACTGACTTACTTGTGACGTTAGTCGTGAGGAAAGCCGATGTTGTACTCAGACAAGTTGAATTGCCAACCAAATCACTTGCATCCATGTGACAATTTTATTGTTTGTTATTACTGTCAACTCACAAAATTTTGGTAGCGACGCGTTTTAAGAGCACTTAATTCTTAAATGGCTTTTGGGAAAGTTCAAAATCAAATTTTTTATAAAAGCCACTTAGCGAGTTAGATTAAACCACAGCAGTAAAATTACGATGCGTTTAATATATGATATGGCTTAATATATGAACTTGAAGACTGACAAGCGGGCTGATTCAAAGATGTCGCCGCATGCAAGCTGTTTTTAAGAACTATCAAGACAACAAAAGTGTCCCGACAGGCAGGATGAAAGCAGAATGAAACTGCCTGGCGAAGAAGGCCAGCCCGGCTTCCATAGAAACAGCCACTTTAATTCTGGACTTGCAATGATGTGGGCAACGGCCATGTTGGTCCCTTTTCAACAAAAGAATCTCATTAACTTCTTTTGAATTTGGAACCAACATGGCCGCCGTGGCATCGTCTTCTAATTCTCAAGAGTCAAGGCATTGACTGCAAGTCAAGAATAAGTTCTTTGTAAGTAAGCTCCTTTAAAGGCGGTTTTCGATCGAAAATTCGATCTTAAAGACAAAAGAAAATTTCGATTCGGTGAAAAATTTCGCCTTGTGCAAAACTGCCTGAAGTTTCTATTGTTCATATTCAAAAGATTTCTGTTTAGTTCCATCTGAGAGCTTCCAAGACCAAGACAAACGAAAATTTGGCAGGAGGGGGCCAAAGTCCCCCCAATATTTGAGATGGGGCTAAGCCCCCCCCCCCCAATATTTTTAGACTAATATTTTTTAGACTAATATTTTAAGATTTTGAGGGCCACAAGTTTCTAACTGTCACGTGTTACCCTCAGTAAATAAAGCCTTTCACTTCACTTCACTAAGAGCTGAAAATAAGACAGTTCGCAGGCTAATCACGTACCGAAAAGTGCATTGAAAATAAACAGTGATTGATGCATGCAAGGAACACACTCTGAATGCAGGACAGCATTTTAGATAGTTCTATTCATCAAATATATTTTGAGTTCTGCAAAAAATTCAAATTTGGAATATGACATTAGACAATTATTTGGCATACAGTAAGTATTCTATATTTTTGGAGGTGTATGAAGATTTTCCTCCCGAATAAACCAGTGTACATGGAAACCTCAGGGTCTTAGCTATAATATATAGTCTACCTATATATAGTCAACCCGATAGCGAAGGACAACAAAACTCTTAGTGCTATTGCATTCAAATCCTTTATGGAGTCCCAGTGGGTGAAAATCAACGAGATCTTCATGCTTGATGTATTTGACTTCTTCACTTAAGCAAACTTGGTGAGCATTAAGGTGTTGTTCATGTTTTAACACTTGTAAAATCTTGCACTGGAATACAACAACTTCATTTTCAGTTTCGACCATGATCTTTTTCACCAGTCCAAAAGTATGAATTCCATAGTGCAAGGCTGTGATGAGGACACAACCAACACTGTATCTTGTACCGCCCACTACCACCCATTTGCACCTGCAGAAAATAAAATATACTTTAATTATTAAAGGATTAAAATACACATTAAGCTGCAAGGATTAAAATTGTCTGGGGCCTTTGCCACTCAATGAATTAACATGAGACATTTGTAGATAGGTTCCTCATCTGGATGAGTAAATTTGTCTGACATTACATCGACAGAGGATAAAGTTTGAGGCATTTGGGCGCACTGTAGCCTGTGTTGCTGACTGTTAAAACATTGTTATATCAGTGTGAGAATTAGCCAAGGATATTATGTTCTCATTCTTGTTGTGTACATGAATCTGAGTACTAAATTCTGATTGGCTTTCTGCTGTATTTTAATGAATCCTAAACTGCAACTGATTGGATGCTGTGTATGCATTAACACTTTAAGTGGCCATGCAACGTGATAGCCCCTATTTTAGTATTTTGCTGCCACTCAATGGGTTAAAAATGGTCTGCTTACAGGCATCCAATCAGAAGCTGTTTAATCAAAATACAGTGGCAAGCCAATCAGAATTTAGCACTCAATAGGTGCACTGCAGCTTAGTGCATTGACGTGAAATACTGCTAAGCCTTTGAAGACATGTCAGGGTTTATGCAATTAGAGTACCTATGCATGTATTACAATGCACATAGTTGTACTGTACATTATCTGGTTAAAATTCCAGAGTGAAACACATATAAAAATCTCTAATTAATACATACACGGTCACCAAGGATGTCGGTGTGACATCTTCAAGTTCATCCTCTAGTCCTGCATCAGCAATGGTAACCCTCTCTCCTTTAACAGAGATATGAGATAAAAGCAACATTAGTAATCATTACTGCTGGAAAAAAACTGAGATATATATCTATATAATTATTATATACAGTATATAATACAACTCATTAATAATGCAATTTTAACACAAAAGAAATCAACCCCATGTCAGTGGTCTGTATATGTGATAAGGAATCATGTTCACCTATATATACTGTTTATGTACTGTCTATATACTTTATTTACTGCATTTATACCTGGACCATATTTAAGAGCCTTATTGAAAAGGGTTCCAGCAGAGGTTTGTAGCAAATACGCTTGCAGAGCTTGGTGTCGCTTGGCCAGAGAGTAATCGATATTTTTAAAGTTATTTAGTTTATCCACCAATTTCTTGAAGTAGCTGTGCTTTTCCTCAAAGCGCATTGCCCAGCTACGGACCAATGGACCTCTCCTGAAAAGAAATAATATCTTTATGCTGGTATACTGTACTTTCACTGCACAACACATTTAGGCCAAATAAAAAAAACTTGGTTAGCGTTTGGGTTTTTTTATGTAAGTCTTTTCGTTTTAGAGCTTATAACATGCTATCATGCTCAGACCTTCGCACTGTATACTGATCGATAGGAGCATGTGGGCTTGGGTATACAAGGTTCTTATAGCAAAATGGCGGCCTTCGCAACATCAGTGAGTACAAAAAATATCACCGATATGGTGGAAAAACCGGCCCCACCCCCCAAAAATACTATTAAAAATAAAAAAAAAAGTAAACATTAAAAAAAAACCCGCTCTCCCGCCTCTGAAAATTTGTGACACTAACCAAGTATTTTTTTTATTTATAGCCTTAGGCTTAGCATTAAATTTTCAATGACAATAATCTAAATCATTTTATCCTACCTCACAATTTGTCTGGGGTAGTGAACCATGTAATGTTGTTTTCGGATGATGGGTCTTGCATATAATTTGCTGAAGCTCTCTAGGTACTCTCCTACCAGGACAGCAAGGTAGGCAGCTAATTCTGGGCTTGTAGTTGGGGCAAATAGGATTTCTTCAATTTGTAAAAGGAGCAGAACATTTTGCCAGTGACTGTCATCCTCTGGAATCAAATCTCGAATCAACAACGGAAGCACTCTTGCCAAGCACCACATTTGAGTGGCTACAAACAAAAATTATGGCAAAATTATATCACTCTATATATCACTATTATAAAACCCAGTAATAGGGAAGAAACATGTAACTCTCCTTAACCGGGGAAAATGGCTGCATGCAAACAGATAATTATGTGAAATACAATCATATTGATGTTTGTGATGTTACTCTGAGTGTATATCCACACTGGGCAAGCTTGAAAAATGTGCCTGGTCATGGTGGGAATCGAACCTACGACCTTTGGAATACTAGCCAATGCTCAGAGTAACATCACAAACATCATATATTCATTTGAGTACACAGTGACACCAACAGCCAACACAGCAAAATTATAATAAAGTTATCTGTGACATACTGAGTTCAAGCAAAGTTACCTGTCTGGCTTATTGTTGCAGAGTTAGTATTCAGGACTTGCTGCTTCAGAGGACTTGGTCTATCCTTTCTATCAACCACTCCATATTCAAAGTTGATAATCCTCTCATTCACAGTATCCAGGGTGAGGATTTTCTCTTCCTGAACATATCTTTGTAAAAGCATCTTAACCTCTAAAGGGAGTACACCTTCCAGCTGGTCATGCATGATGTCCAAGTCTACTCCATCAACAACATGAAAAAACGTAGATTGGTTCAATGCAGATGCTCGCTTAACACCATATGCTGTTGACATTGTTGCATCTTCACTGACAAGTTCACAGTGTCGATCATGGGCTGTTTTAGTCCTTAGTTGGAACTCATCTTCACTGAACTGTCAATTAAATAAAAAAAAAGTTTATTATAGAGAGACTATTTTGTTAAAAACATTTATTGATTGCAACTCTGACTTTCATGCACCTAATTTGCCTGATAATTGCTTTGTGACAAGTATGAAACACAGAGTTGCAATCAACTGCCCCCTGGAAAGCATCAGCCCCATACGCCTATGCTCTCTATATGAAGCCTACTGTATATTTTCTATTCCTATATTCCTCTCTATATTTTTACCTCAAAATCTTGAAGATTCCTATACACGGATGAAACAGACCGTTGTGGTAAGAGAAAAAACTATATTACACTCTACTGATATATAGTATTGTCGAGCACTGAATTTACTCACACTTGTTTGTATATCATTCTTTGTTGCCATACAAACACAACAAATTCTAAGGCAATTGAAGCTTTCTTTGTAGCCTCCAATCATATGGGCACCAAGGTTATCAGTGGAGAAAGGTCCAATAGTTCCTCTAAAGGTTTTGTTGAAACCATCAACTTTCACTGCAAAACCAGTCTCCTGAAATAATGTTAAAGTAGGAATCACAATTATTAATTAATTGAGTTCAATTTCACACAAATAGTTGAACCCCCCTTTTCAGATGACCTAGAAAAGACAAGTTTTGTTAAACATTTTCCTTGGCCTTTCTGGGCCTCCCCCAGATATTTATCTACCGAAGCAAATGAAAATATGAAAATCTATCTCTGTAATCAACTAACTTAATTGCTGATGCATTTAAAAAGACTATACACTGCACGCATTCAGCAATTGTAACATACCGACTCAAGAGTGCCAATGTCATTCATGAATGGTTGTAGAATTCTGTCTATTCCATGCTTCTTCAGAAGTTCAACCTTGCACAGTGTGAACAGGTTGATTAAATTCACACAAGATCGATATTCTGCACTTATGTTGCCAAGTATGAAGTAAAATGCACCTGAAATAGTCAAGGACATCAAGTAGTTTACACTCATTTATGGCTATAATGCTTATAAACACAAAAATATTACAATCTTATTAGTTTAAAATTAATAATAATTAATAAATAATGTGTTGCCAATTTGCCATGACAAAAAGTGATCCCATTGTTTATCCTATGATTATGTACAGTACAGTACAGTATGATATATTATATCATTTTAAATATACAGTAATTACTGTGACATTCCAGGTTATTAAACTAGACATTCCATTCCAGGTTTCAGATAAAACTATACACAATACAGTACAATTATACAATACAATACTTGTATTAAAACATAAAACATCTTTACTATCACACAACCATGATGAACACACTATCTTAGTATCTATGGCACAATAATACTAGACTATAAAAAGGCTATATTAATTACAAAAAGGAATAACAAACCACAAATTTGGATTCAGCTGTAAAGAGTTCAGAATTTGTGAATTTTAGCATACAAAATATTTTAGGACTTTGAGGAATGTAGGAAAATTCGGATTTTTAAGGAAATTTTTTAAGGAAATTTTTGAGGTGTTTTTTTTTATATATAAATATACATGAGAAAAAACAACCAATTCTTTTTTGTCAGTAAATTATGACAGACTTCAAAGACTCAACGTTTTTCAAATTTCAAATCAAACAGTTTTTAATCTTCTACTGTAATGCACTAATGCTGTATTAAAAGTTATCACAAAATTTTTACACGGAAATCTAATTTCCTAGTTTCCCAGGAAAGCTGTACTCTCGTACCCAGGCTTATACCTGTAAGTGGACGGTGTTTGTCTCGCTGTTTGTCTTAATAGTGATTTTCCACTGAGTTTATAGTGTGTATCAGATCTTTATTCAGAGCATAATTTTGGATATTTTTGGGATCTTATAATGGACGATAAGTTGAACAAACAGTTAAACAAAGGTATGTAGTATATTTACTGCATTTTAGCAGCGACATTTTTCAATAAAAGTAAAGGCATACTATATAAATATTCATGATATCAAAGCACATGGTATATAAAAATTAGAATTTTAAAATGGAAGGCTCTTATTTTTTGTTCAAGTACTATTTAAAACACGACTAGGAGTGTTTTATGCCTGATAAAACACGACAACAAGTGTTTTGAATAGCTTAAAATATGACTACAAAAGAATACTAATTAGGATGAACATTTATATAAAGAATACTATTAATGAAGATGAGTTTTATCAGATTTACAGTCATTCCACGTGACATATTATGGCCGACATGATTTGGCACAAGGTTTATGAATTATTAATGAGTATTTTAAGTATATTTAACCTTAATACATTGTGATTTTAACTAGCTAGTCAAGGAGCCTGCTATGATACGGGTGATGGTCAAAGTGCGAATAAAAGGGAATCAAGAAAGAGAAAGAGAAAGCTAAAGAAGGTGGAAAAAAACTTTTGAATCTTTCTCTGGATGAGAAATGTAGAAAAAAAAGGTTAAAAGAAGAAAATTAAAAGTAGTAGGGGAAACTAATGACAGTGGAGAAGATACTGAAGTCTGGGTCAGCGACCCAGATACCGCCAAGGACCCTGGGGAATCAAACTATAGTGATGAAGACATCCCACGTCTAAAATGTGAAAATGCCTTTTATGGAGTTTATCCAGAATCAAAGTAAATAATAAAAATTATTATGCAATGATAAGCAATTTATTTTATTACCTAATTTATGGATCTTTGTTCTTGAGCCCAAGGGATTGGTTACTTGAAATTCATCATAGTACCCATGAATGATCAGAGCATTTTCTACTACTCCAAACAACGGATGACTTTTAAAATATTCCCCATCACAGAAGTCTCTAATTTTACCATCAGTGCTGGTATGAGAATTGCATGCCTTGAAAAATAATTAGATCATATGGTTAGGGTGATAGTTTTTAACCTACTCCATTTTGCAGGTAAAATTATCAGGTGTTCTCATTCCTCAGGCCCTATAGGGTACAAGATGGTCAAAGAGCTTTCATGTTAACGGTTAACACATTTGCCTACACTAATTAATTTGTTAACAAAATTAAGTCACTGGCAATATTTTTCCGGGCAATACTTTCACACTGACAATAGGGATTACTTGTGATGAAAAGAATTGCCCGCTGTTTAACAGTCTGAGAGTTAGTGAGTTAGTAATAGCAGTCCTGAAATATATATATATATATATATATATATAAGCACATGTTTACTAAAGTGAGCAGTGCTGTAACTTTACTTTTTTGACCACTTGCCCTCATGGCAAGTTCGTCATGAAAATTAGTTGCCCCGAATAAAATTCACTTGCCACCAGACAATAGCCACTGGGGTACCTAGGTGGGGGGATATACATGTAAATTAAGGGGACAACATGTCAACCCATTCTCTCACTACTCTATATGGCTATGTTATATTGCCTCAGATCTAGCTTTGGCCCACACTAAACAACATTTTAATCAAGTACATGCACTATAAAAAAATTATCCGACAATGACAATTTTTTGTGGCAAGGCAACTTGCCAAATTGGGCAAGCAAGATATAACGTTTACTTGCCCCTCATGATAATAACTTGCCCCAGGCAAGCGGGCAAGTGTTAAGTTACACCTGTGGTGAGAGATACCTCGGTCAAAATATCAGGATGATTTAGGAGTGCTTTCAGTGTTTCCAAGATTGGAATGTATTGAAAAGTCTCCTTTCTTTGGATATACTTCATCTTGCCATCTTTCATTTCATAATGTCCCTCTTGGCTTAGAACAATACTTTGTGGCTGCTATATAATACAACATTGATGCATACAGATTAATAACCACACAAATATTAATTATACCTTTTATACTTCGTATCTATTTTTGATTTTTTAACTTACAACAAAATTGAGTTTTTCCACGAGATATTTCACTTGCAAATACTCGTTTGCCACTGGACCCAAAGCCGTCTCATATATGCTCGATTGGTTGTCGAATACCTCTTTTAAACCATTAATTTCGGCCCAGTTCAAACCATTTTGGGCTAAGCACAACTTAACTTCGCCGCCTAGTGTTTGAAGGCAATGGTCCACCAAGGTTTTTGTGTTATCCAACATTGAGTCAATAGCTTGTTGGCTTACAAGATTAACCTCCTTCGTTTTTAAAACGAATAAGGCAATGAACTTCGTTATTTTCTCAATATCGGTATCTTGGTCAATATCGTCATCATCTTCATCAGCTTGATCCTCATCTTCAATAGGGACATCAATAATACCATGGTCAGGATCGTCATTTCCTTCATCAAGCGAGTGATCTTGTGCACATTGTTGCTTGTGTTTTCTGTCCAAGTGAGACTTGAAGGATGAAAACCTTGTGAAACCTTGCCCACAGTATGTGCACGAGATTTTAAAGTTGGGTTCGTTACTGTGAACAAATTTGATGTGACGCAGGTACCTATCAAACTTTTGCCCTGTGAACTCGCCACAGTATGGACAAACGTACATATTGGTCCATAAAATTGAAAATCTCCTTGCCTAAAAGACGCTACATTTGAATAAACCATGCAAATCGAGATCTATTTATATCATATGACCTTACAAGCATAACGCAAGAATTACCATATCATGCCTGACAAGTTTCTGGTTCCAGTGAATATACATAGTGCTTTTTTTAAAATCGACTCCTCTGCATTTTTACCAGTCAAAAAGGACTCTCGCCTGTTTTGTAATATATTGGTGGCAAAATAGAGCTTTTTTTAAATTGACTGCGTTTTTTGTTAGTTTTCAGTAAGCATTAGAATTAACATATGCATGACAAGTTTCCTGCACTGAAAAATTTCCCAGTGAATACAATATCCTGTTGGAATATTAGAACTATTTTAAACCGACTGTTCAGGTTTTTTGTTAGTTTTCAGTAAACATTTATCTTTTTTCTGCCACTCACCCAACCACTCTTCATCGTTACTGTTTTTTTATGTCCCTCAGTGAAATCACAGGTGAAATCAGATTTTAGATTACCATCTCTTAGCCAATGAAAACTCGTTGCGCGCGCGTGGCCACTGGCACTGTGACTGTGGCTTGCGTTCATATTACAGTTCACCACATGATAGCGTCATTTCGTTTGAGACTTGGTAAAACGCACTCACACACTCTAACAGTCGTAGCAGTAAATATCGAATACTATAATATGGAAGGCTTGGAATTTGTCAAGAATTGGTTGGTAGAAAGAGGCTTCGAGAAGTACTGTGGCGCATTTGAAGGTAAATGTCAGTAAATTATAGTATAGTCAGTTTAGACTTTAGATTATATCAACAGTCGGCCAAGCTGGCCCAAGCAGAATGCGGCTTCATCTTGGAGTTCCCGTAAAAGCTTTGGCGCAAGAGTTATCGCAACTTAAGGTAACTTAAAGCCGTTTAGCTTAGTATATAATAAAAACACAGTCGAATTTGCAACTGAGATTTGAGATGACACGTGTCGCGTAATTTTATACTAGCTGTCTTCGGCGTGTCGCACTGTCCCTGCTTGTCCTCTTGGCTTAGTATCGTGCGGTAATTGATAATGTTGTTAGTTCGAATTATTAATTTTCATTGATATTTACCAAGTAGCAATTTTCCACAGTATGCGTTTCGATTTTATTTAGATTAATATTTAGTCCTAATCATGTGACCCGATGATGTTATATAAAAGCGCGAGATAAAGCGCATTTTAATATGGTCTATGTCTGAAAATGCCGCTTTGGCTTGTATTTATATTGGTAATTGAACTGAAAAGAGTGCAATTAAGCGATTTGGTCTGAAATCAAACGCTTGATTACAAAATCATAATTCAAAAGTCAACTCGCTTAGCCGCCGGGTCTAAAAACTCAAATTTTGTGCTAAATTTTGTGCTATTATTCCTAAAAGCTGATTGGTCGGTTTGGTTGAGTTCTTAAACCTGATTGGATGTATGAAAGAGGCGATTTGTCCCCTGCAGAGCCTGCCAAGACTGCCAACTTTCCAAGAGATATCATTGCTATTTTTAGTATGTTATTTGCGCCTGGGTACGAGGCTGAAGAGATATTGAGATAATCAGATTGTAGGAAACAAAACACTATTGGTTTCAAAATGAATATACCATACAAATAGCAATGAAATAACAATGTTGCATCGATTTTGTATTAAAGATTACTGTAGGATTAATATTATGTAGTTCCCAGTCCTTTGCCACTGCTATTTTTTTACATTTTATACTTGTTTATATTTCTTCGATCATGTAGAATGCGAAGTTGACAAGGAAAGCTTGTTGTGCTTAACAGAGAGAGCGGCTGAGCATCTTGTACCTGTGCTAGGTCCTCGTATGAAATTCCTGAAGGAATTGGAAAAATTAAAAAGGGAGGCTACTGGCAACAGTGACATTAATGAGAGTAGATGTAGCTCCTCAGCAGCTAGTGAACTGGAAGTCGTGTAAGTATTTAAATATTTTTGCATTGCCATACACTTTACAGTAGTTAGTATCAGTATGTTTTTTTATGTCATGCAATGGGTAAATTTGACCAATGTTCACTGTAAAATGTTGCTAACTGACTGATCAATGTCAAATATGATTATTGTATATCTTAAACAAGTATTGAATGAGGCTGAGCATGATATTAAGAATTATTCAGACCAAAGTCAAGTTAGCGGATGGCAGATAATATTGACCACAGTCCATCTCGTTCCCCAAGCCTGTGTTCTCTTTGCCCTTTATAGGACAGAACAACAGACTATGGGATAATTTGATCCAACAATAAGTGCACTTGAAAGTCATATTATTACATGCTGATTATGTCAGCAGCAGAAATAATGTGACAGATACAGAGAATTAGCTGGGGTGTTTTGACCAAACATGAACGAGAATAAAGTTTGAATATTTAAAAATAGACATATATAATATTGTATGTGAATAGACCTTGTGATTATTTGGAAATGTAGTGTTGTTCATGATTGAAATAATATGCAAACATATTTTGATCTATATCTTAAAAATACAAATCAATGTCTGCATATTAGTGTTAAAACTGCTATATTGGTGGCGAAGTGGTTAGCACACAAGTTGCCTTTCACCTCTATAAAGGCCGTAGGTTCAAGCCACAGTGAGAACTTTCTCTGGTTTCCTCCCACAGGGAAAGTTGACAGGGTGGGCTATGTAAAAGGGCCCACAGTAATTGGTATATGCTGTTGTGGTGACCCTGCCCTAGTTGGCAAAGCTAAATGAAATAAAATTAGCTTCTGGTATTTGACAAGCCAATTTCATATTAAATTGCCCAATTAAATATATTAGCTAAATTTATTAATATTTGTTGAAACCCTTTTGAGAAACAAGTTGCCAACACAAGACAATTAAATCTACTTTCCAGTTTTCACAATCATATTTGCATGTTTCCTCCTCATTTATAAAGTGTTATTTTCTGCTGGCTGAGGTACGAAAGAAGCAGAAAATGTTTTCTCAGACAAGGCTGGGAGCCTGGTTGTGAATTGGGTGTGTTCGGGTGGTGCAGGTTAAGACAGCACATGTTGTTGTTGCTTCCGCAATGCTTGACATAAAACATGTTGTTGTGGCGGACGGCTGCAGCAGCTCCCAGCGGTGTGTGAGAAGTGTGTTTCTTTTGTCCAAGCTGTGGCTAGGTTTCTGAGTGAGTGATGTTTCTCATAGACCTTTTCGGTAGTTATGTCACAACTATGTACATTGTTTTCAACATAAGACCACCTTAAATGGAATGGATTTTCTCACTGGCTATGCACAAAGAAGCAGAACACCCTTCTTCAAGACATGCATGAAAAAGAATAAGCTTTAACACGAAAACAAGGCTGAAGGGGCAAAGACCCCTTTTGGCCCCTCAACCTCATTCTTGTGTTAAAGCTTATTCCTACATTTATTGGTCAAAATAAAAAATATTTATCAACGCATGTGTTGAAAAAGGATGTTCTGCTTCTTTGCGATGCGCTAATGAGAAAAAAAGTTGAACTCCATTCCGTTTAATTAAGCATGATTTAAGGTAGTCCTAGTCCATGATTTAAGGTAGTCCTAAGAAAACAATATTTAACAATTTATTCGCCAATTTATTCGCCAGGTGATTATCGGAGAATATTCGCCGAGACAAAGTCAAGGTGAATATTTCCCGATAATCACCGAGCCTGAGGTGAATAATTGTTTTAGTATTTTTATCCAAGTCTTTTGTGTTATTTGGTACTGAACCTATTTTAATTTCGCTTATTTCTTTATCTGTAAACTTCTACAAAACGGCTAGCCGCAATTTTGAAAATTCCAGTTTTGTTATATTCACCTGTAGGTGAATATAACAGCTTAATACGTCGAATTTGACCAATCAGGTTGTAGGATTTGTTGTGTTCACTTGTGCAAAATACTAAATATATTTATAATATAAGTCCTAAGTTGAAAACAATGCAGACATAATTACCGAAAAGGTCTGTTGACTTGTACTGATTTATGTGTTTCAACAGTGTTTGTTGCATTTTGCTTTTCTTATATTATTTTGTTGTTGTCTTCTCAGTTGTCCAGAAAGGCAAAGTATGCCTCCATCGCCAAGTATGCCTCCATCGCCAAGTATGCCAAGTACGTCTGTAAGTCCCCCGTCACCTGGCCCTATATTCAATGCAAAGCGCCCTTGGCCAGCTGTAATTCAACTACCGAAAAGCTTTAGACCTGAGCTGACAAGTGCATTACAGAGCAAAGAAGCAAAGAATGTTACACCAAGGTTGAGGAAAGCTTTCAACCAGAGAATTTTTGGTTACTTTTCTCAATATACTTTGTAAGTACACTTTTTACTGAACTTAACTAGCCTATTATCTTGCATGCTATTAGTTCCTAGAATATGTTAATAAAGTGACCGCAGAGCATTTTTTGTGTGTGGGTGGGGGGCCTAACAGTCATGTGAGCATGTATTCTCCTCCATATTATCCACCATGTTTGCATAGTCAATTAAACTTCCAGTTGGGAAGATATTGGGGGTAGGGCTAGAGCCCCCGGCTCTGTGGTCCTTGTAATATTTATTAGACTTAGCAATATGTGAAGTTAGTGTTAATGAATTATGTGGCACTTTTCTGTGGTTGTTATTTTACACAAGTTTTTGAATTTTGTTTTTTGGAATTCCTTGAATATAGGTATCCTACCAAATGTCAAATACAGTCAATTGGCCAGGCCATAATCCGTGATTATCCTTTCCTGAAGGACAAGACTGTTGGAAGTGGTTATGTAAGCATTATTCTAACCTTTTACTCCAGGGGCCGGTTGTTCAAAGCACGATTAGCACTAATCCTGCGTTAAATTTTAAGCTGCTGTTTTAGTTTATGTATTTCTGCACATCTATTTGTTTCATTACTTCAGAGAAGAGAACTCTCATTGGTCCAGACAAGAATTCTAATTCTTGAAAAATATTTCCAAGTTTACAAGCTGTTGGGAAGTTTGCTTTCAATTTTAGGTTAACCTAGGGGGTAAGCTAATCGTCTTTTGAACAACTGGCCCCAGATATCTAACACCAGACAATTTTACTCATGCAGCTAGGTCCCTGAGTCATACTTGTCAAGGGAAGAGTTTTGCAACTTTTGCCACTCAATAGGTTAAATTAACTGCAACATTTTAAATGTGCTTTATAAGCACTGTCAGAACAGCATACAAAAGGTGATAGCAATGCATATACATGCAATAATATAAGTTGTATTCGTTATGTATTTTTCAGGATTCTTGGGTTGCCCAGATCTATGAAAAGTTTAGAAATGAAAGAAGAAGGTTAACTGAGAATCCAGAAGTGAAGGTGCAAAAGTTAAAACGGGCCGCCACAGCCTCGGGTGATACAACGCCGTCAACCTTGTCAAAGAAGGTCAAAAGAGGCGATTTAAACTGGGAACCGCCGTTTCTGCAAGGTGAAGATGAAACTACGATAAATATCCATAAGCAGTTTTTGAAGAGTGAATTCGTTAAACGCTCACCAGACGAGGGAAAAATTGCAAGAAGAATGCTGGTGACATTTCCAGATCGAAGAAAAATGGTCAACGAGAAAAAGCCCATCAAGGAAATTAAGGAGGAGTACCCAGCGCTGTTTTGCTCCTCTGAGGTAAGAACTTTTCAATGTATGTTTTAATGGCAAAGATTTCTTCATAGTTGAAAATGAGTCGATTAGACACATACAGGCAGGGCTGTCCCGAGCAGTATCTGGTTGGGGGATGAATTAAAAAATTTGGGACCCTTCATTTTGGGGGGCCCCCTCAAAAGCAACAATTTTTTGGAAAATTTTGGCGAGGGGGGGGTTGTCGTTTATTCTGACCACGAAATGTCCCAAAAACCTTTCTTTGGGGGGTGTTACCCCCCCCCCCCACTAGTTCCGGCCCTGCATACAGGGCTAGTTTGAAACAGATGTTCACAGTAAATGTTGTATTTATTGCCATCTTGTCTTGATTTAGATCATTGCAGAATTTGAGCGTCTGCTGATGGTGATTGTCGCTAAAATGTACCTGTATAGCATAGGTATCGTCCAGAAACCTTCTTACTTGCAGCCATCTTCCTCTTCTCGCCAATTTCAAAGCCATATGATAATGATACATGTTCATATCATCGTTACTATCGGTGACAGCGTGACCCTCGATGGAAACTACCCAGTGCGATATTGTTATCCCACAACTTTTCCACGTTTTCAGTACCGCATCTGCAAATTGCTGCTTTGTAGAAAATTTCGCGATATCAGCTCTGCTATACATAATTAGATAGACGAGCCTTTGATGATAACTTTTTAAAGATACCATTCTGCCAAAATATAAGCTTTGCTTGACCTCGCTTTAAGTATAGTTTCACGGTGATGTCATTCATATGTGAAATAATATTTATATAATTCTATTTATAGCGCGCGGTTATATTTAGATCTAGACATTACTTCCAAAATGTACGAATATAGTTCTATATGTGATCATCACTATTTTTTCTCGAAATAATCTCATAAAAGGACATAAAAGGGGACGAAACCCAAATTCACTTGCTCACCAAAAGATCGACGGAAAACATCGCCAATCATGACAAACCAGCAATATGCAGCTTTCCGTCATTAATAGCATAATAAAACACTTTAATTTTTTAAAATATTTTTAGACAATGTCAATAAATAAATCTTCGACACTATATGAATTAGTTTTAAAATCATCTAGTGTGATCTTGTTGTTTACGTTTCATTGTTTACTGTTTATCAGCTAGGCCTATATTCCGACAATCCTGGCCAAAAGTCTTTGGGACACTCCAAAATTATCGCATGTTTTTATTGTTCTTTTCAGAGAGAGCCGATTTAACACAAAATAAGTGTTTAAACCAAACCCCCCTCCCCTCCCCCGTTCAATGTTGATTTGGGGGCATCCTTAACTGAAATTTTATGAACTTTCAACATTGAATTGGGGGTGGGGAGGGGGGGCATTGCCTTTAGAATTCAAGGTAGAAAAGGGTGAGTGTCCCAACACTTTTGTCCAGGATTGTAGGTCCAAAAATTTGGAATTCATTACCATCTTCAGTTGTGAACCCAGTTTCTCTAATCTCGTTTAGAAAGAAACTTTTACGGTTTCTACTCCATGAGTAAATCAGAATTCGTTATATATCTAAAACTCTACATCTTGTACTAAATCAATCCATAATTTAATAGTAATTTTATGAGGGGATCTCTTTAAAAAAGCGTGATGGTTTCTTGAGGTCCTCTTGCCAACTAATCAAATAATAAAATACCCCAACCAGATAATCAATGTAAATATTGTATTTGTGACATATTTGGATGTAATGTTATATTGTAAACTTGGCGAATAATAATAGTAATAATCACTTAGCCCCCATCTTAACGAGAAGAACAAGTCCAAATTAATGTAATTACTGTGCGATTTTGCTGATGCGTTCGAGGATAAGTTGGGTCAATGTAATATTACATCCCATCGGATTAATACAGGCAGAAACACACCTATTAAAACATAGACTGTGATGTTTAGCATATGCCTATCATGGAGAATTCGAAAGACAGATACATGAAATGCTTGAAGATGGCATTATTAAACATAGTAATACCATCTAGCCCTATTGTGTTAGTTAAGAAGAATGGGGGTTTGAGATTCTGTGTCGTTTACTGTAAGCCAAATCAAATTACTGTCAATGACAGCCACCCTTTGCCTATAATTTCAAATCTTGTAGATAGCATCAAAGACGCAAAATATTTTAGTTTACTTTACCTTCGCTCGGGCTACTGGCAAATTCCAGTTGCTCCAGAGGATCATGCCAAAACAGTGTTTGTAACCCAAAATGGCCTATATGAGTTTACTAGACTACCATTTGGCCTAAAAACAGCTCCTGCAACTTTCCAGCGTGCAATGGAAGTTATTTTATCTGGGCTGACTTTTGAAATTTGTCTTTGTTATTTGGACGATGTGATTATATTTGCTAGAACTTTAACAGAGCACAACGATCATTTGAAAACAGTTTTAACTTGATTTTGGGAACATAACTTGCATGTCAAATTAGCTAAGTGTGTATTTGCATCACCTCAGGTGACATATTTGGGTCAGGGTGGTTTCACCAGACCTCACGAAAGTTGAAGCAGTTCAAAATATTTCTTCTCCTACTAGCCTTAAAGAAGTTTGCAGTTTTCTGGGATTAACAGGATACTATAGACGTTTTATTCCTCATTATGCTACAATTGCACAACCTCTAACCAAGCTTAAATCAAAGAAACATTGCAATAGGTTTGAATGGTCTAAAGAATGTCAAGCAGCTTTTGAAAAATTAAAACATCTACTTTGTTCCACTCCAAGCCTTGGATATCCAGATTTTAACTGTGAATTTGTTTTGCACACCGATGCTTCCAACGTAGGTCTTGGAGGAGTCCTTTCTCAATTTGATGAACACAGTCATGAGCATGTTGTTGTTAAAACTTTATTGCCTCACGAAACCAATTATTCCACAACGGAAAAAGAAGCATTTGCTATTCAGTTTGGCACACAACATTTCCATGTCTATTTATTAGGATGCAAATTAACGATTTCTACCGGTCACAATCCTTTATCTTGGCTCCAAAGGGCGAATTGCACGTTGGTTGACTGATTTACAAGAGTTTGATTTTGAAGTCAAACATAGATCAGGTCGCATGCACAATAATGCTGATGCTTTATCTATACTTAATACACCCACACCCAAGGTTATAAGGAAATCACAGCTTGATGCTATTAAAACTTGCGCGCTGTAACTTTAAACCTGGTTGTCAACATTCAAGACACGCAACAGGCAGATCATAGTATTGCTAGGCGATGCGATGTTATACTCTCGAAAAACGACCAAAACCAAACTCGCGGCATCGCCCTAACGACCCATACTTTCATAACATATTGCGACATTTTGATAGGTTGTTTATTTGTGACAGAATTTTAGTACGTGCCATAGGTAGATCCAATTTTTTGCATCCACATTACGTCATTGTCGTACCAAAATTACTTATTGCAACATGTGTAAAAGTCATGCATGATAGTGCTTTTGCTGGACATATGGGAATTTCACAAACAGAAGATCGCATCCGTCAACGATTCTATTGGCCAGGTATTCGTACCTCAGTCGAAAACATTTATTCATAACTGTAGCATTTGCTCTCAAAGAAAGAGAATCATACACACACTAACAAAGCACCACTAGAGCATATTGAAGTAGGTGAACCTTTCACATTTTGGGGGATGGATTTTTATGGGGCCACTTCCCAAGACTGTGCATGGTAATCGCTATATTTTAGTATTGATGGATCATTTTAGTAAGTGGTGCAAAGCGTTTTTTTTTCTACTAAGGATCAAAAGGCCAGCACTGTCACAGCTATTCTATTACACAAAGTATTTAGTTGTTTCGGT